TTAGAATTGATATGGTTCGCACACCTTGTTCTACAGTTGAGGAAGCGGGGACAGAAAGGTGAATGGCTTTCTTATGTTTTACAAGCCTTGTACCAACTCTAAAAAAAAGTTCCACTGCACTGTGAATGCCTCTTGATTCTAACCCCCAATCATATGGCAATTTCAGAACCTTGGGGAAATTGAGTTTAGGAATTTTAAATCAAAAAAACAGCCTGACACTTAGTAAGAGTTCAACATATGAAAATCACAAAGAGCTAAATGATGTAATGAGCTCACAGCTAGTCCAAGGAGCTCTCTATAAACATGGGCTCAATTCCAAAATTGCACCCTTATGCTCTTCCTCTGAAATACAGCAAAAAAACTAAAGTAGACACAATTTTGGAAGTGGGGAGGATAGATGCATTCTTATTGGCAATCAGAGATAAAAAGAACTTTGTTAAAGCCTTAGATTTCTTTTCTGTGCCAAGCACTCCTAATGGAAAAAATGTGCACAGCTGAGATGAAAATCCTCTAGAATTATGCATTCAGTTTATTGCTATAAACCAACCACCGCAAAACTCAGTGGCTTAAAACAACAACAATTTATCACTTCACGCAATTCTATACATTGACTATGTAGTTCTTCTGCTGATCTCCATAGGACTGATATTTGATGAGCAGCACAGCTATGGACTGGTTCAGCCAGAACACATGACATAGCTAACTTGTCCCTCCTTGTGGCTCTTAATATAAGCCCTCCTTATACAATGATAGTCCAGGGCAGCACATGAAGAGAATGGAGGTTGTGGAAGCCCCATACCACATTCTACTAGTCAAGTAAAGTTATATGACCAACTCATACTCAACTTTTTGATGAAAAAAAGCAAATTTCTGTGCTACCCTTTCTTTTTAAGAACAGATACATATTGTATATATTTTTCAAGTAAAAAGTCTTTATTGATCTATTTACTTAAAACCATATATCATTAGCCAAATTTCCTGCTTATACAGCTGTTCTCCTTGCCTGTTTGGTCCTGTGACATTTTTCCAACTGTCATGCAATAATCACATATGAGGGCCCCTTTACTGGCTACACAGCTCTAACAAAACATAATAATACAAACTATCTCTCAAAAGAAAAGAAAGGCTCTCCCCAAGTATTTAGTCAACAAAACCACTACAACGGCCCAGAATTTTACATTCATCTCCCCTTAATTCTCAGATTACTCCACCCTTTCAACCTACTAATAGCAACTCTGATCTGTGTTCAACTATTTAGTTTTCTGATATAGCTGAAATGAGAATCCTCTGAAATTGTACAACTAAATACTTCAACTGCACCTAACTTATTTTTTTATTCTACAGAAGCACTGTATTTGCTTTGTTGTGATTGGCAAGTGTCAATAACCTTCCTGAACAAGATGCTTCTTCATCCCAAGATGTTTTAAACCTCAGCATAATCAAAAATATAACCAAAGAAAAGTATTAAGAGTTTTTCAATCTACAAGATTTGAGATTTGAATCTCAAAAGGGATTGTGTATAAAAATTGATAAATGTGATTTTTTTTTTGCTTTGGTTTTAGTTTGGGAGACTTTGGGTTTGGTTTGGTCTTGAAATTGTCTTTCTTAGTCCAGGCTGGCCTTAAACTTGACATGCCCCCATATCAGCTTCCTAGCTATTGGGGTTACAGATATCTGGTACCATCCCTATACTAAATGGAAGACTTACTGACATACCACACTGAGGTTGCAATTAAAATATAACAACCATATATAGTGTTTACTAAGTACCAAGTGCCATTCTAAGTACTTTACATGACTTAAGTCATTTGGGTACTATTTTAGGATGAGGAGAATAGCGTACAAAATAGCTATGACAGAAATCAATGTTAGCTTCTAAGTAGCAGAGCCAGTTTTTGAACCAAAGCATCCCTGTCTTGAGGATCTAACTCCCTAATCACAGAGTCCTACAGAAGATGGGAAAAACATGAGAAAATATTTATGAGGGAAATTTTTTTTTGTTTTGTTTTGTTTTTCGAGACATGGTTTCTCTGCGTAGCTTTGCGCCTTTCCTGGAGCTTGCTTTGTAGACCAGGCTGGCCTCAAACTCACAGAGATCCTCCTGCCTCTGCCTCCCAAGTGCTGGGATTAAAGGCGTGTGCCACCACTGCCCGGCATATGAGGGAAATTTAATACCTTGAGCAGGTTAAGGTTTCTTGGAAATAAAAAAAAAGAAAGATAAAACTATACTAGACAAGGTCTGTGAACAGACAATCTACCAGAATGGTCTGCACAACATGAGAGTGATTGACTACTAGCCATTATAGCAAAGACAAACAAAATGATCATATCTATTGGTATTGTATGCCTGCTTGTTGAAAGATAAATTGTTTATATGCTCTTCCAAAGTGATTTGAATATGTAGATATATTCAATTGTAAGTATTTATATATGCATACAGTTTTAGCCAACCATTTTACTTGTAGTAATTTTCCCATTAAAAAAATCAGATAAGGGGTAGGTGTGGTGGTGCACACTTCTAATCCCAACACTCCGGAAGCACAGGCAAGCAGATCTTCATGAGTTCAAGGCTAGCCTGGGCTACATACCAAGTTCCAGGCAGGCAGATCTCCACAGTGAGACCCATCTCAAAAACAAACAAATAAACAAAATCAGAAAGAATCAGATGAGAACTTGTAGTTGTAGGCTAATGAAATTTATTAAACCATTGTTTATAGTATTTGCCAAAATATGACAAAATAAAAGACATATCTTTCTACTTAATGACATAGAAAAAGGATCATAAGATACTTTTAAGGAAAACAGTAGGTTTATAAAACTGTATAAGTAGTATAATCCCAGTATAAAATTTACATATATATTGTATATGCTTACACATTATATACACTCTCTAAGTGTTTAGAAACTTTTATAAATGTTATATTTTAGTTTCCATATTACTTATCATATATTCATGTATCACTTTTCTAATCTTGTAAAACACCAGTAGCCTCATTTCTAGAAGTTTAGAGAACTGAAACCTTTCTTATACAACATGATTCTTTCAAAGAAAATCTTAACAAGGAGACCTTTTGTTCCCTATCTCAGTAAACACTTACATGACTGATTTTGATAGAAATATGGGGAGCACATGAACTGTTACCCAATAAAGGCTGCTCATAATCATTGGGTCATGACTTCATGACCTCTAACACCACATCCCCTACTTGGTCTGCTTTCTAATCACCAGTCATCTGAGAGCTGAAGATAAACATAGATATGACAAATCACAGCTGCCCAGAGCTCATCAGCCAATTCAATTCAGGAGATAAAATCAGCCCAGTAATATATACTTTAAAATGGGTTTGGAGGGAGACAATGAGAGCCCAAGAAAAGTCACTTCATAAGTGCAGGCAATTAGCAGTCACCACATTGCAGGCCTTCTTAAGCAAAGATGTCACATGCTTAGAGCCAGGGACAGTGAGAAGCTGCAGAGTGTCTTCACCTGCTGACTGATGAAAATGACTGACGCTGGGGCGCCAGCTGAAAAATCAATTATTCACATCTACTAGGCAGCTGCCCCCTACACAGTAAGCAGCAGCAGGTCGCAGGAAGGGGAGATTGTTGTGGTTTGTTGTTAACATGCACTATCCATTTCTCTGGACTTGGAGTTCAACAACAGCAAAATCAATAGGCTGCTCCAAACCAAAAAAAAAAAAAAAAAAAGAGGTTGAGCACCACCTGCATAACAACTAACAATGCTGCCATGTACTAATGGCAATCAGCCCTTATCTCACCACCGTTCTCTTCCATATTAGATGTCTATTGTATCTCCTAAAGCGATAAGAACCCAGAGGTTTGTGACATTCATAATTACTAAATTACTTCTGCTAAAAAAGTAATAATGGACTATAATAGACCCATTAGCTGCTTTTCATTATTTCATCCATGTCCTCTCAGTGTCTTATGTCCTGTTGGCTCTTTATGTATGTAAGGCTGTCTTTTCGAAGACCAAGCATGATTAGGTTAAGAAGCTCCAAAAACACATGATCAAGGAACTATAAATCTTCTTTAGTCAGATTATTTATGTTTGGAGTGCATTTCAGAAAAGTGTTTATTTGTATGGTTCTAATGTCTGCTGATACTTATAAATAAAACACCTTGTGGGAAAATGTTGGGATACAAAGTAGTACAGACATTTTATAAAACCATTTGGTAGTTTCTCATAGGTATAACCTCACCATGTTATTGGCATCTCACCCCAGATGAAATGAAAATTAATGTTCACATAAAAAACCTGAGCATGGCTGATGACAGTAGCTTTATTCATAATATCTCCAAAATGTAAATAACTAAATTTTCCCTCTCTAGTGGATGGGGGAATGGATAAAATATTGTGCATAAGAAGATTATAATATTGGTCAGTAATAACTAGGGGGAAACTCCTGATACAGACAAATGGATGAATGAATCTAATATATTAGCCCAGCAGTTCTAATATAGGGGTCGTTACCCCTTTGGCAAACCTCTATCTCCAAATATATTTACATTACGATTCATGACAGTAGCAAAATTATATTTATGAAGTGGCAACAAAAATAATTTTGTGGTTGGGGGTCACCACACTATGAGGAACTGTATGAAAGGGTCATAGCTCTAGGAAGATTGAGAACCACTGTACTAGACTAAGAGATGAAGGGCAGACTCAAAAGATACATACACTATGATTCCACTTACATGTCATTCTTGATAAGCCAAAATTATAAGAATGGAAAAGAGACTATTGCTTAACAGGCAATGCAGGCCTGGGCAGTGAGAGGCAGAGTACAAATGGGCAGCTGGCAGGAGTTATTTAAAACAAAACTCTTTTGTATCTTTATTGTGGTGGACGTTTATGATTATATGTGTTTGTGAAACTCCACAGAGACATAGCCTAGCAAAGTAAATTTTACTATATATAAAGTATACTTCAGTTTTCTTAATTGAAAAAAAAAACTAAGGTAGGTAAAAGAACTCCAGGAATGCTCACTTTGGCAGCACATATACTAAAATTGGAAAGATTATACAAATTAGCATGGCCCTTGTGCAAGCATGACATGCAAATTCACGAATCTTCATATTTTTAAAAGGAACTCAAGGAATTCATCTACAGCACTAAACTACTTTATTGCTCATCCCAGTACATTTAGCTTGTGTTTCATCATCTTTACTTAGCCTCATTCTCCCTGTCACATCTGCAGCTGGAGCAGACAGGACGCTCCAGAATGTATTTCTCCTTGCAGACCTCTATTGCTGTGGACAGAACGTCCAGCCAGGACCTACAGAAAAAAATTTAATAATTCATGGCTGTTCAAGTTTTAAAGACTTTCCCCTAAGAACTTCCTGAAAAAGTTAGAAAAATACAGGCAGATCTGTGGTGTAGAGTGATGGGCAAAATTTGGGGAATTGGGTGGAATTTTACCAAATTTATCACTGCTTCCACAGATGATCTTCAACAAATGCTCCACATTTTCTATCATCAAGGTCTCTGGAGGGAAAAAAAAACGACAAAACCCATGTCAAATGATTCAAGAGGCTTCTAAAAGTGTGGGCACAATGAAGGAATTCACAGGAACCAATGAAACACCAGACGTTAGCAACAATAGGAATCCTTTAATGCAATGGTGATGGTGCTAGAGGATGAAGTGGTACCTCTGCCTGCGATCCTTAGTACTTACAAGTACAAGACATAGAGCTATAGAGGGAGGATTTCCTGGCAGGGACTATGATCATGAAAGACGACCCAAAGGCAAAATCACAGGTCCAAGTTGAGAGACAACAGAAAATAAAAAATCTGCCATTTCTCTTCTGCGTTACCCCAGGTTCTTACCGTTTCTTCCAATTGGCCAAATCAAATACAAGACCAGCTGGCAATGGAAGCTTCAGTGATGATAGCCTTGGTGGTCAGGCTCTAGGATCAAGACCAGAAAGGGAAAGAGATCAGATCCTAGAAGGGATAAAATGGGAAGTGTTAACTAAGAATAGCAAGGCCTTATTATTTATCAGTCATGTGGTTTTACAACATTTAAAATTCTTTGGTTAAGCACTTCCCCTCCATATTCTTTAGGAACCCCACCTTCACATGAAATAATTCATAATTCCTCAAAAATGTGATTAGCTTCACCCACCGGACTGGACTTTGTCTTTGATCCAGGTAAACTGAATTTTACTCAGGGTGTGTACTCCGCATCAGAATGACTTGATTGAAGATTGCTGAAATAATCTTTTAGAGGGATTATTGGTTGTATATCAAAGCTTTAACCAAGATGCTACAAAGGAATAAACATATGAATGAATCTTTACTTTTAGAGCTACAGAGATGAGGATTCCAGATATTTATTCCAGAAAAGATTGCAGCCATCTTGTAGGACTTCCTTCCTTCCTTCCTTGCTCTAACATCTCAGGTATAGAATTATGGATACTGATACAAACAGAATAGAGCATGAAGTAGAAAAGTTTACAGTCATTTTAATATCATTCACTCTGTATATAATGTATCTCTTTCTTGACTCTATAACTCTGTAAGAAGCTAAAAATAAAAACATTTACACTTACATAATAGTATATGTATATATTATATTTTATGTATATATTTAACAGAGCAAAACCACAAGCTCCATGGCAAACTGGATCGTTTCCAGATGAACAGTGTTTCCAAGCCTTAAAGCACTGCTTAGGACTGACAAAGTATCACACCTACTTTGATATTTTTCCCCACAATTTCCAAAGTGAAACTCTTTATTCTTCTCTTCAACTCAGACAACTCTTTTTAATCTGTATATATTTCCAGCTACAATAGGAATAAAAACCATCACAATGCGAGAATGAGAACTGTAAGAGGGAGCATGTCAATTACAGCCTCAAGCAATGTAGCCCTCTGTTGTCCTCAGAAGTCCACACACTACATTTGGCTTGGCACTGGTGCTGCCCAACAATAAGCACTCCAGCTCTCCCACTGGGCTCACAGTGGTGATCATGTCCAGAGCAGTTCTTGAGAGGATGGAAGTAGTACCTGGCTATCCATTCTGTTAAAACATTAACACTCTCTGTCCATCAGGTATTGAGTTCTTGGGCTGATCTGCAAGAGTAACAGTGCATTAAGCATGTCACCAAGTGCATGCACATAGAAAAGAAGGAGGTAAAGGGTGTGGAACTGTAGATACCCTTTCCAATTGGGGTCTTCTTCCAATTTAAGGGCTGTCAGGTTTACATAGAATCAGATAACCAATGTAGTCATTGAATGGTTAGGTGGCCAGAAATCCTCATGTTACTTGACAATTTAAAGACTGCTAGAATTAAAACAGAGCCAGATAACCAATGGCTAGTGTTGTGCCACACTGACTTCTAAGAAGCTAGTTCCACAGTGTGAGGAACTATTTGGTTTATTTGCCTCACAATTGCATGGCAGAGGTTCTGTGGCAGTGTTCACAGAGCTACATTGAATAGATTTTTGTTTATTATCAATGTTGTTGTTTTATTTTTAGACAGTTCCATACTACGTACAATGCAATGCACTGTGATCTTATTTCCCACCCCTATCACCATCCCTCTGAACTCCTCCTATTCCTCAACCAGTCCCCCCCCCAACACATTTTCATGTACATTCTCTAGTGGAACACAGTGTTCCTGAATATACATTAATGGGATTCATTAGAGTAGCTTACAGGCTGTGACTGTAGTCTGGATAGTACAACAGTGGCTATCTCCCAATAGAAAGGCCAAGAATCTGACAATTGCTCAGTCTATGAGGCTGGATACCTCAGCCAGTCTTCAGCATATGTTGGAATCCTAAAGAAGTAGGTTCTAATATCAATGCCTCAGCAGCAGGGTAGATGAATTTACCATAAAGAGTGAGGGCAAGCAGGCAAAAAGCAAAGGCTTCTTTATTCCATGTTCTTTTGCGTAGGCTGATACCAGAAGGTATAATCCAAATTTAGGGTGGATCTTCCACCCTCAAAAGATCTGATCAAGAAAAATCATTCATGGGTGTTCCCAACTGGTTAGATTTTAGCTGATTCCAGATGTAATCAAGTCACCAACCAAGACCATACATGCCATTCCTTTCTCTCTTTTTTGGCCTACTAAATATGTGGAGTATGTAGAGCCCTCCAGTGGCCACACTACTAAATAAAATGACAGCCCCTTCTGTGGTACGCATCAATTGTCAATAGTTCTCAGAAATATGGACTATTAACCAGGTCAGTGTAACACAGGCCTTGTTCAGACAACCATAACTGCTGTATGTTCATGTTTGTAACAACAATTTTATAACCAGTTGGCAAAATGTCAAAGCACTAATCCCCATCCTCAGCTATTATTTTATTCTACCCCCTCTTCTGCTATGTTCATGCATTAGAAGTGACATAGATGTCCCATTCATGGTTGAGCACTAAGCAGTCCCGTATTTCTCAGCACTTTGAGCAGAGTAATCATTGACTGCCACAAAACAGAGTTTCTCTGTCCAAGGCTAAGAACTTCCCTGGTCTCTGGGTATGATCATAATTACTTAGAAGGCAATTTGATATCATGGCCATTTAGGAAACTGTAGTAGCAGATTCATCCCTAGGGCCTATGACCTCCCCAGCCATAGGCTTTTGTCTGGGTTTTCAGTACCTAAGGTGTTCATTCCCTGTCAATGAATGCATTTCAAATCCAGTCAGAAAACAGTTGGTTACTACCAAAACAGTCATGTCACTATTCTTCCAGTGGGCATATCTTTTCTGGAATATTGGTATTAGAGCCTCAGGGACCACAGCTGGATACAAATGTTAATGATTGTTCTCCACTAACAATACTAAATGGCTCTTTCTGATGCTAAAAACACTAGCCAGCAAGGCTGAAGCTGCCAGCTCAGCTCCAGCTTGAATTTTTTCAATATCCTGTAACCAAAGAATGTGATATCCTCAGCAACAAGATCTTACTTTTCCAGCCTTGTGGACAAACAAGAACAATGACAATACTCTGCATTATTTTGGGGAGTCTCTGGTCAATAATTCATAAGGAATTATCTTTTACTTAATACTGAAATTTTCACTTACAAACTATGGTTTCTGGGAGCAGCAGTTTATATCCATACATGATAAGAATGTTCCCAACTGGTTTCCAATTATATTTTTCTTAGCTTACATAGTAATAAGTTTCTATATTGTTTTTTCATACATCCTTAGATTTCTTCCCTACGCCACCTCACCCCCATTATCCTGCCCCATCTCTGTTTAAACCTTTCTATATATAATGGTCCCCCATACTGTTATATCCCAGGTATTCCAATGTCCCCACTGCATTAATGCCTCCTCTGATGGCTTCTCTCAAGCTTCCTGAGTTCTTCAGACACTCACTCCAACTTACCCTCAAAATTCAAAACTTAGAAACTAGGATACACATATAAGAAAGAACATATATCTTCCTGTGCCTGGGTTTCCTTGCTCAGTATAATACTATCTATCCCTTTTCCTAAAACTTCTATAATTTCATTTTTCTTTAGTGGTGAATAGAATTCCACTTCTTATGTGCCATGTTTCCATTTTCTACTCAGCCAGGAGGCATGCTGGTGCATGTCTTTAATACCAGCTCTTGGGAGGCAAGAGCAGGCAGATCTCTGTAAGTTTGAGGCCAGTCTGGTCTACAGAGCGAGTTCCAGGACAGGCTCCGAAACTACACAGAGAAACCCTGTCTCAGAAAAAGAAGAAATTCCATTTTCTACTCATCATTTGATAGACATGTAGGCTGATCCCATTCTCCAGCTATTGTAAATAGAGCAGCAACAAACATGGATGTGCAACTATCAATATAGTAAGACACAGAATTCTTTGAATATATCTAGTCAGATATTAATATCACAAAAATTACTACAATTCTGTTCTTGTAAGCATTACCATTTTTGTATGTGAGTAAGTGTGTAGCACGTATGTGTGCATATGTGATTATATCTGTGTACACTCCTGTACACATGTGAAGAAGAGAAAATATTAGCTTTCTCCTATCACTCTCCACTCTATCTCAAGACAGATCTCTTACAGAACTTATAGTTGCTTTTTGTTTAGCTACATGATAGCTATGAAGTCTAAATTATCCTCTTGTCTCTG